TCTGAAAAAAATTATGGCCTCTTCTTGTACTCCTGACCCTGGAGTACTTAATTAAGTATTTAAGTTATCAAGTAAATATGTGAACATCAAAAGTTTTATAATATATATATATTTCCATTGGAGAAACATGTTAGAATTGAAAGAGTCATGTTTCAATTAGTAAAAACCCAGAAAGCTCCACTACATAAAATACCAATCTGTGCAAAAGGAAATTTAAGTGAAAATAGTGATGATTACTTGTTGAACACATATCGTGAAAATGGAATGAGATTCTTGGTGTGTAGACTGTCTGATTCTACACAGATTTCCTGATAAGTACAGTGGATTGACAGATGCCAAATTCCACATGGTTGCTGAATTAAAAAAAAAGTTTGAAGTTGTATGTATAGATTCTCCAGCTTGAAGTCAGAGAAGGTATATAGATGAGCTCATCCAGAGGAATTTCCAAGTATTTCTCTTTTTCCTTTTACTTAATATTAACAAGTCCTCAGAGGTGAGATAACATGGACCATATTGTCTACTAGGAGCTGTGTGATTGGGATCAAAAGGTCACATGGTTGAAATAATGAGCCAGCGTCTTTAGACTTTTACTTTGCCAGTGCCAGCATAGTGGCTTTCCATTTCCAATGGTTCTCTGTTCACGGACATCTTCATCAACTCGAGCTGTTTTTGTCTGGTCTTGAGTTTCAAGTCGGAATCCGGGCAAGAATGGACCACCTGACTCATATTCCATAATAATGCCCCAGAGTATGAGACGCAGCACAGCTCAGGTGAGTTTGAGGGAGATGTGGACGAAAGAGGGGACCAGCAGGGATATTGTTTTTTCCTTTTTCTTTATTTGGTGGTACTGGAGTTTGAATTCAGGGCTTCACACTTGCTAGTCAGGCACTAAACTACTTGGGCCACGCCTCTAGCCACTTTTGTTCTGGTGGAGAATGAGTTTCTCTTTCTTTGCCCAGGTTGGCCTGGGCCATGATTTTCCTGATATCAGCCTTCCATGTAGCTTGGGATGATAGGTATGTGTCACCCTGCCTAGCTATTGGTTGAGATGGCGGAGGGGTCTCATTAACTTTTTGTCTGGTCTGGTTTTAAACCGAGGTCCTCCTGATCGCACTCTTCCAAGTAACTAAAATTACTGGTGTGAGCCACTGGTGCCTGAGTGGGAGACATTATTTCTTTATCATCAGGAGAAATATGCCAGTTGGGATAGACAGAGGGAAGTTTTAGCTCTGAGGACTAAGTTTATGTTTATGTTTTAGGACTGGGTCAAGGAACTATCATTCCTCACTGATTCTAGATCATGTAGGTCATGTTGGCAGTCAATGGATGCCGCCTTTTCAGGAAGGAGTGACATGAAATTCTTTTAACTAGGTAAAAAAGGCTGGGTATAAAACCTGGTTCTGAGAGGTACCATAGGCGAAATTCTTCCTTTTGTAAATAGCAAGATTTTTAACCAGAAAAAATGGACTGGTATGGGCAGGCACTACTGAATATGCAGAAAAGTCCCCAACAAAAATTGGTCTCACACACAGGAAGTTTTCCTAGTGTTGTATGTGGTTGATACAAATAACTGTACAAAAATTTCAAAAGCATGGACTGGGAATGTAGCTCAGTGGTAGAGAATTTGGCTAGCATGTATAAGGCCCTGGGTTCAATTCCCAGTACTGCAAAAAAAAAACCCCTCAGAAGTATATCTTATAATCTAATTATTATTTCATGCATTGTTCAACAATGCCATTTATATGATCAGTGATGCTACTGGGTTATGTGGATATTTATCAAAATTGAAGTCCACCAAAGTCAAGGTTAGAAATTATATATTAAAGAACTTTTAAAAGGCAATCTATGTATTAGATTAAACCCTTATTTTAAGGATAGACCTTAAAGAAAATCAACATATTTGAGTGAGTCCTTATTTTCAAGAAGGAGTAAAATCAGAAAGTCAAAGAATTATGAAAATAAATGAATTCAATTGACAAAAATGTTCTGAGACCATAAACCTTCAACTTTACTTTGAATCTTAATAGCATAATCCTACCTCTTATAGAATGTTGTATTTAGTCAGTGTTAAGTAAAGTTTGTACCATTGTCTTAGAATAAAAGACTTCTTAATTTTCTTCAATTAGAATGATGTTTTTTCTTAACATGGGAAGAATGTTTCTTATTAACTTTTTTTTTCTAAAAGAGTAGGCTGCATTACACTGTGAACAAGGGTATTGTATGTGATGTTCTTGGTCTTGTAATGTTCTTCACTAGAGTGTCTCTGATGTTTTCATGGAAAGAGGTGAATAATATAAAAATAAAGTGGAAACCATTCTAAGAATGGTGGGCTTGTGACAAATAGGAAATATTTCTGAAGATGTATGGTCAAATGTGAGGATGTGATAAGATTATTGGTTTAATTCAAAGCACAGGGGTAGTGCTAGGTGATGGTCCATTTATTTCATTTTTTTCTAACCATTTTTTTCATTTTCAAAAGCTGCCCAAGCAACATAGAACCACAAAATCTAACACTTATATCAGAAGTCCATCTCATGAGACTCTCAGATTATCCAGAACTGCATCCCATCCTTTATGGACTCTTCCTGTCTATGTACCTGGTCACAGTGCTTGGGAACATTATTATGATTCTGGCTGTCAGCTCTGATTCTCACCTCCACACCCCCATGTACATCTTCCTCTCCAACTTGTCCTTGGCTGACATCTGTTTCATCTCTACCACAATCCCAAAGATGATTGCAAACATCCAAACCCAGAGCAGACTGATCTCCTATGTAGGTTGCCTGACACAGATGTTAATTTTGATCCTTTTTGGATGTATGGATGGGATGCTTCTGACTGTGATGGCTTATGACAGATTTGTGGCCATCTGTCACCCACTACATTACTCAGCCATCATGAGCCCTCATTTCTGTGCCTTTTTAGTTTATTTTTATTTTTTCTTTTATTCATATGTGCAGACAATGTTTGGGTCATTTCTCCCCCCCCCTTTTTAGTTTTATTGTCTTTTGTGTTTAGCCTTTTGGACTCTCAGATGCACAATTTGATTGTCTTACAATTTACTTACTTCAAGGATGTTGAAATTTCCAATGTTTTCTGTGACCCTTCTCAACTCCTTAATCTTGCCTGTTCTGACACCATCCCCAATAACGTAGTCATGTATTTTGTTGGTGCCATATCTGGTTTCATTCCTATCTCTGGAATTTTCTTCTCTTATTACAAAATTGTTTCTTCACTTCTGAGACTTTCATCATCAGGTGGGAAGTATAAAGCCCTTTCCACCTGTGGGTCTCATCTGTCAGTTGTTTGCTTGTTTTATGTAACAGCCACTGGAGTGTACCTTGGTTCAGCTGTGTCATATTCTCCCAGAAACTGTGCAGTGGCTTCAATCATGTACACTGTGGTCACCCCTATGCTAAATCCCTTCATTGATAGCATGAAGAACAGAGACATTAGTACTACTTGTCATAGACATCTCATACATGACAGCAGAAAATATGTCCCTATACACTGTTTCCTAAGTAGTCAGAAGGATTATGAGGGTAATAAATATGAGGGGAAGAATGGCAGTAACCATAGCATCCCAAGGCGTTACTAAGGGCTTCCTAAATGCTAATTTTTTTGTTGGTACTAGAGTTTGAACATAGGGTCTTCCACTTGGCACTAGGCAAGTGCTCCATCACTTGAACCTCCAACCCTTTACGCTTTAGTTATTTTTCAGTTTTCTCATACTTTTTGCAGGGCTGGACTCAGACTTCAATCCTCCTATCTATACCTCTCATGTAGCTAGGATTACAGGCATGCACCACCATGTCCAGCTCCTAAATGCCAAATCTGAGCTATGAGTTCTATGCAGCTTGTATCACTTCATCTTCAGAGTCTTTCAAAAGTTATGAATTCCACATTATTATTATTTTACAGAAAATGAGGAAACAGCATTTTTAATGTAAATCAGACTAAGTGGTTAGGTTGGAATGAATAAAGCCATATTTCGATTGAATTGTGTGATTACAGAACATCTTGCCTGGAAAATCCTGGCAGGTTGTCTCCTTGACAATCTCACCAGTCATTTCAATTTCCTCTCATTATAGGAAGAGATCCCTTTCTCTCTGTTTGCTCCCTATTGGGATTCCTGGTGCACGACACTAGAAAGCATTGGGTGGCACCTGCCAAATCATCCTCAAAAGGGCAGCTATACATCACAGGCTGCAAAGGTCACAGAGACAGTATGCAGGTGATCATTCAGCACAGATCTCTCTTGCCCTGACTCCAGGATATTCTTGCAGATGTCCACATCACCTTATATTTTTATAGTCATACTACTTAATTTTAAGAAGAGACATAAATCAGACTTAATTTCGTTCACTTCAAAACACTGGAGTTTAAAACTGTACATCACATGGACCAGTGTTTAAGACCTCAGGACCCATGCTTAAATATTTTGATGGTTAGAAATGATGAAATAGATTAGTAAATTGAACTCAGAGATTGACAATTTAATTTTGGGTCCTGTTGGTTCCACTTATTATTTCTGCAATATAGGGCAGTTTTTCATATCTCTGAGATATCATCTGAGTTGATTTCTAGTTGATACAACTGCACTGAGTACATATTAAACAGGTATTGCATGTTCCTGGTAATATGTGATGAATGTATAATATATGGGAAAAATAAAATTTTGGTACTATAATTATTAATAGTGATAAGTTCACATTCACACCCTTCAACTACAATATTCTCTGACCTGATGTGTTCTGATTTCCTATTACTATACCTTGTTATTTTTTTTGTTCTTATGTGAGTACATGTGTATTTGGAGAGAAACAACTGGTGACATATCATTTCTGATTCCTGAGAACTGATGCCTTGCTTGATACAGAAGAAACATCAAGAATGTCTGTTTTCTTTTTTTTTTTTTTTTGGTGAGACTGGGGTTTGAACCCAGGGCTCCATGATCGCAAACAGATGTTGTACTGCTTCTGCCACACCACCAGTCCATTTTGCTCTAGTTATTATGGAGGTGGGGTCCCATGAAGTATTTGCCCAGCTGGCCTTGAACCTTGATCCTCTTGATCTCAGCCTCCTATGTAGTTAGGATTACAGACATGAGCCTGTAATCTTATTATTTAGAATAAGACACATTTTAGAGTTTTACTTAATTCCAGGCTTTAGTGACCTTGAAAATTGTATTCATCAATAAACTTGATACCTCCATAATGATTGCATTCTTTAAGAAAAAACTTACATTGACCAAATATTTATTAAGTCTGAGCCTCCCTTGTGTGTCATATATGTTGTGGAGGTGGGTGTTACTCTCTTTGTTTCCATTAAGCAGTTTGAGCACAGAGAGATGGAGAGATTTCTATACATTCTTCATATACTAACAGGTCAATGATGTGGGACTTAAATGTTGAGTTCCTGATTTCTACCCCTGGGCACTGTCTTCTCTAATGGAGCCAAATGGAAATGTTGTTCTCTGTGGGCGATAACGTTTATTTGTGATTTATGGCAATTGTAAGCACATACACATCCAATGCTGGACTTAACGGACGTCTACAGACTAGTTCATCCAATGACTGCACAATTCACATTCTTCTCAGCAGACCATGGAACTTTCTCGAAAACAGATCATATTTTAGGATATAACAAAAGTCTAAACATATATAACAAGATTGAAATAGCCTCATGAATTTGGTCAGACCACAATGGCATAAAACTAGAACTAAACAGGAAATGAAACTAAAGAAAATATTCAAACACAGGGCCAGAAAAATATACTTCTGAATGATAAGTGGGTCATAAAAGAAATGAAGGGATAAAAAAAATCATAGAATCAAATAAAAATCACAATAAAACCCACCAGAGCCTTTGTACATAGCAAACACAGTGCTAAGAGGAAGGCTTGTAGCTATGAGTACCTACATTAAAGAAGCCACCATTTTGCTGATAAAAAACCAGCCAATGGCACAAAAAAGGGAAAAATGATAGACCAATTTCCTTGATGGACATAAACACAAAAATTCTGAATAAAATACTTGCAAACCTATTGAAGCAACACATTAAAAATATCATAAATCATAGTCAGGTTGGTTTCATTCCAGTCATACAAAAATGATTCAACAGGAGTTTGGGTGTGGCTCAAATGGTAGAACACCTACTTAACAAGTGAGAGGCCTTGAATTCAAACCCTTATACTGACAAAAAAGAGAATGGCTCTACATACACCAATCAATTAATATAATTCCACCATAAACAGAATCAGGGACAGAAATAACATGATTATCTCAATAGAGGCAGAAAAAGCCTTTGACAAATCCAACATTCCTTCACGACAAAAATTCTGAAGAAACTAGGAGTTAAAGGAACATATCTCAACAGACTAGAGGCTAAATATGACAAACTTATAGTGAACATTGTACTAATTGGGGAAAAACAAACTATTTCAAGTCAGGAATTAGACAAATGTTTCCACTCTCTCAACTCTTATTGAGTACAGTGATTTAATTCTTAGTCTGAGTAATAAAGCAAGAGAAAAAATAAAAAGGATATAAAAAAGAAAGAAGTCAATTTGTCCATATATATATAGTTTCTTTTTTGGCAGCACTGGGGTTTGAACTTGAGCCACTCCACTAGCCCTTTTTTTGTGATTTTTTTTCAAGATGGAGTCTCACTATTTGCCCAAGCTGGCTTCAAACCTTGATCCTCCTGATCACTGCCTCCTGAGTAGCTAGGATTACAGGTGTGAGCCATCAGTACTTGGCAACTTATCCTTATTTTCAGAAGACATAATCCTATAATTAAAAGATCCTAAAGACTCCACGAGGAGATCCAAGATGGTGACTATGGTACAGAAGCTGAAAGCCTAAGCTCTGTGTCTCCAAAAACCTCCCTGAGATGTTGGAGCCACACTTGCATAATTATGACTTCTTCTAGCCAAAATGGTAGCAGCCATCATACTAGGTGCAGGACAAAATTCAAAGACTGACCTTCAAATCAGCCTGTAATTGCACCTTACATCTGCAAACTGCTGCACAGCCAGCGAAGTTGGTCTAGCCCCGGGGAAACTCTCCTTCCCCACGGGGATTTTTTCTTTCATTCTCTTCTCCTTCCTTCATCAAGTGGAAAGAAAGCATCAACCAGAATCAAACTTTTGACATCCTGAACCCCTAGCCAGTGGAAAGGCTCCCCATACTACATTACACTGAGAAAATTTGGTGCAATTTCTTGCTGCCACTGCTGCTGCTGCCACCACTGCCACTGGCTTCAAACCTGATGCATGTCAATTGACAGAACAAACAGGTGAGCACCATGTACTATGTGGAACTTCCCTATTGACTCCTGGGAACATAAACCAGCCCAGTCCCTGGGCAAACTGATCTTCCCTCCAAAAACTGAACAACAACAAACAGTGCACTGTAATCTAACACAACAGTGGAGTGGGCTGGTGGAACACTGAAAGTGCACCAGAGAAAGGGTGAAGGGCAAGGAGCTAATCTCAGTGCCAAAGTATCTGTAAACAAACACAGGAAAGGCAGTGAAGACTGAGAGTGGGTGGGTGAAAAGCCACTCCCTGAAGCAGGGAAGGTAGTGGATCACAGAGCTCATCTCCTGAGTCAGAGAATGGCATTCAAATTCGAGCTGCCCCACAAAACTGAAAATCAAACAGTGAACTGTAATAAAACATGAACAGTGGAGGGGGTGGGTGGAACACTGAACCTGCCCTAGAGAAAGGGGGCGGGGCAAAGAAATAAACTTCCAGAACAGAAATCCCAGTAAACAAAAACAGCAACAAGCCACTTCCAAAGCAGGGCAGGTACTGAATTGCAGAGCTGACCTTCTGAACCTGAGAACAGCATTCAAAACTGAACTGCCCCATGTTGCTGGGAGAGGAGCTGACCAAACAGCTGCAGCTGAAGGATAACACACCTATCAGCTGAGGAAATCAATAGCTCTGATCACTCTGCATGATCTGACAAACGTACTTCACATCACAATTTCAATTAAACTGGTAGAGAGAAGAACAAAACACTATTCACAAGCCAATTATCTGGTGAGACCACATCAGAACTTCTGCTAATATGTCAATACCAGGACTGGATGCTGGAGGAGTAACTCCAGAACTTAAACTAAGACTGAAATTCTATTGTTCCTGAACCTGTTTTTTTTCCCTGTTTTTTGTTTGTTTTATCATTGTGGGTTTTTAAAATTTTTACTTTTATTCCTATTTTCTTTCTATACTATCAACTTTACACTACTCTCACCCTGTTCACTCTCCCTACTCCTGTGCTAAAATCTATTGCTCTCCTTCTCAACTATTCTTTCTGATACTTCTCATCCACTCTGCCCTGCCCACACCTTCCCCTCCCATTTTCCCCCCAACCTGTCACCAGACTATCTTTCTTACACACACACCACCTGCTGACCAACCCACTATACCAATTTACACAACCCCAGCCCCCTGTAATAGCTGACACAAGCACCCTACACTACAACAGAAATATACCCAAACACACACAAGGACCACAAAACCCAGCAGCCCTCACACTGTTTCCCCACTCAACCACCCCACTTCTTGCCTCTCCTTTTAGTGCCACCCTA